TGCGGAGTGCAGCACATTTCTTTAATTGCTTGCAGATTGTATTGTGTGGGGGTCTATTATTATAGCTACTGTTTATTCCAGCTCTCCCATACTAATAAAGGAAGGGACTTCATTCTATGGAAAGCAATCACTACTGTTAAACCAGCAGTGGTTAAGGATATGTGGATGATAGCTGGCAACATCCTACAAGAAACTTACATGTATCTCCTTGTTACGACAGAATATAAGCATTCAGGTAGCATTCCAGACCACAGGCTAGATACAACTGTGAATTTTATATGAAGTTAGTGCTTTGCTTTGCAATTGTCATCTTGCTGCCAAAGATTTGTCTGTGCCCAGTCTTCTTCCCCAGTCTACTCAGGTTTCAAACTAGAAATCATCAGGGGACAATACCTAATCTTTGATAGCTCCTGGCCTCTGGTGCTGCCTTGCACTGCTTGGCTTCACCAAGGAGGAAAGTTGCTTTGCTGGGCAGGATACCCTGTAAGCAGTTGTATAAACAAGTAAAACTCCCCCCGCACAGACCACCTCTTGCTGCAGTGTTTCTGCTCTCCCCTTTTGTATGGACTCTGCAGATCCTTCATCGTCTCCTTGACTCATTCTTATTCCCTTGTAAGCTGATAAATCTTCCAGCTAAGAAAGTGTACTGTAGGTCTGAGATAAGGCATTTGCCAGAGGAACTAAAGATGCAAAATTTGGCTAGAGACCTTTAACCCTGCAAGTCCGAGACTTCCTTCCATACCTCCATGGGTTTTTTTGGTAAACTATTGTATGCTTCTTAGCAGAGTGTGCCAACACTGCAGGTCTTAATCTGGGGTCATATTTAGGCAGGTTCATACAATCAGTGCTATGTTTACAGAAGCCAGCTCTCAGAAGGGCACTCTGACTCTTGCACAGGCATGACACGACACTGTTCAAAGAGATTCAGTACCTACATCCTAGGAATCTTTCCTGGATCCCAATAAAGGATCAGAGATGGCACCTGTCGGAGAGTCTTAAATTCTCCCTTTATTGCAGTGTGAAAAAGAGGAGAATAAGAAAACAGCGCTAAGCAAATTTTTACTTGCAGTGCATTGCAGTCCTATGGAAGGTGGACACAGATTAAACAGAACAAACCAGCAACTCTGTGACTGTGAGGTCAACTGTGTTACCTGTGCACATGCAGGAAAAAGATGCTGTAGATTCTGGAAATACCTTTGTGCCAAATCACACAATAGTAATAGAAAACTTGCACAAGGTTTTACAATTAAGTTGTTGCAGAGATAAGAGGTAACATTACCCTGACTTGCAGATTAGACTATCTGACTTTGGGCAAGTCATTTAATCGCTGTCCTAGTCAATCTGTGGCACTGGTCATTATTTGCAGTTAAAAATCCTCCAGAGAGGAGGACACTATGTTACTTTGGGGACAGTGCTCTGACAATATGGTCTACTGTCAGCGTGTACCCCAGAGTTGTTTGGGTCTAGTCAGCTCTCAAGCCAGGCAGCGGAGTATGTGCCTCCTGCTTCCCTTCATCTGAGATTTCTAAGAATGTATTTACATAAGCAAAGGAATCCAATACCATTTAAGACCTTCCAGACAAGTCACATCCCCACTCTTTGGGAATGAAACCTTTGTGTGGAATCATCCATCAGGTGTTAGGGAGCTTTTAAGACCTGAGCAGTTTTAGACATCAGGACAACTGCATCCCCAGTTCAAATACCTTTCTATTTATATTGGGCATAAGTTGCAGAGTTTACTGCTTTCATGCAAGTTCACACATGGGTGCTGTGTTAGGCATGAACGACAGAGTTCAGGCTGCAAGGGCTGCAGTGGTGACCTATGTGGGAGGAGACAATGAACTGACCTGTGCCGCTCAACTCAGAAACCCATGTAAGCAGCCAGGCATGAGCCCAAACTTCAGCCAGAGGAGCACATGGCACCTCTACTCAAACATATTTAAGAAAGAGCAGCAGCTACTAGAGAAGGAGGCATGAGGACACATGTAAGGAGACATGTGCAGTGACTATTAAAATAGTCATGCTCTTGGAAACAGGCATCCCCTCAATGCCATGGCCTGCAGGGACAAAAGCACAGAGGAAAAGTAAGAAGTACAGAGAAATGCCATACAGAAACCAGTTGCACACAAGCTGAATCTCCTTTGCCACCAGTCACCTCATAGAAGGAATTGGGACAGACTGAATGTAGTCATGAAAAAACAAGGGAAGTTGAGACTAGGCAGGGGAGGAAAGGTGCTTGCTGTATTTAACCTCTAGGGTTTGACCTCTTGATGCTTCCCTCATTACACCACCACTGGGATCAGAAACCTCTAGCAGCATAAGGGCTACTTCTAAAATCCCTGCTCCATCTTTTTAGTCTGAAAAGTCACCCATTATGTGCTAGAATATTTGAATGATATGCTCCTGGGTTTAGAAGTTTATGAAGTTTTTTTATTGGCATGCCTCTTCCTGGCTTAAATGCCTGGCTGATCACAGATTTCATGGTTCCTTTCTGGCCTGCATGCTGGTGTGGGACTTTGCCAACCCAAGCAAACAAAGTGCTAGTGCAGGGAAAGCACAGACACATAAAACCTCTTTGTCTTCAGTAGCTGACCTTCAGGGAGATGGTTTTGCTCTTCAAAGGCCAGAAGCAGCTTGTTTGGCCCTGTTGTGCTGTTCCTGTGTTGGACCTCTGCTGAAAATTAGCCCCAGGTTACCAGAAGAAGAAACTCTGTATTTGGTCCATGCAAAACTGGATACAGCAGACAAATGTAACTGAGCAACCAGATGGATACCAAAAAGAAAAAGCCTTCAGTAGACAAAAAGGAGATACTTCTCCAGCTTTACTGATCAGGTCTCACCTTGGCCCTGCAGAGATTTCACCAGTTAAAACTCTTCAATCCTATCCTGGCCTGACACTAATACCTACACTTAGTCCCAGTCTTAAAGCGGTATCCCATTCCCAAACATACTTGAAAGGCTTTAATCATTGCTAGCATCACACGCCTTGCAGAATCTACCCCACACTTTTTGACGTCTTCTGCCCTTTAGGTCTGAGAGAGTACACCAAAGAAGAGGTACCAGTTCAGTGGTACCAGTGACTCCTAGCTCTGGCCATAGCAATCGTAAGCTATTGTCTGCTTCTCCCACCAGCCAACTGCCTAGACTGGTGTGCTATGAGCAATAAAGTAGAAGGAATCTTCTGCTGCATAAAGGCGTAATGCATTTGGATCCTATAATTTCTATGCCTTTAAAAAAATATGTTAGATTTTAAACTTAAGTCATTTGCCCCTTTTGTCCCATTAGTAATAGCAAACTAGCTCCAGCCTTCTCTTTTCGAACAGAGCGAGAAGTTCAACTATTCACCTCCTCCTCTACCTTACAGCATGCCAGGGAGAGTCAGGAAAAGGGCAGTCCAGCTACTCACAACCACACTAAAATGTAGCCCAGCTCCTGGGCTTTTGGTGTAATGCTTTACAGAGAAGCATTCCCACCCATGTGCTCTAGTTACCACTAGTGTGGAGTGGGGAAGGAAGCTATGCAGCTCCGAGGAGATAGAGCCTCCTTCACAAGGGCCTTGCCTATGTTCAGAGCAAGTTTCTCCAGCAGCGTATCTTTAGTCATACAAGTCTAATTGCCCTTTAAAAAATAAGGGAGGTATTATAATCTTTAATTCATGACTCAGGTCACAAGAAAGTGTTCTGCATGGCCCAGCTATTTAACAGAAGAGCATTTGTGCTGGAATATATAGATTTTATTTTCAGTAACACAGACTTTATTGATGTTTCCTAAGCAACCGTTAAAAGTTGCTGTGGAACTGTAATGAGACTACAATAGATGATTCACATGTAATTCACAGTGTTTCTGGTACACTTTTTCTTTTTTTTTAAACCTGTCATGCTTAGCCGGAATATTAATGATAGACTGCCACCCCGTGTCCAGAAAGGGCTAGAGCTCACTCCATCTCACAGTTACATGCATCACAACAGCCTTGGCCATAATCTCTCTTAGTTGAATTTTCCCACATCAAGAACTAGAAATTCCGCTAGATGCCACGTAGGGGCATTTCACAACATGTTAGGTCAAAGGAGGGATCTTCCCCTCTGCTCCTGGGATAAGTGTGTGGATCTGCTCTCCCTCCTTTTGCTGTGAACGTTACACTATGTTTTTGCTGTCACACTTCTTATGGGCAGGGATCTTTTTCTCTAGGTATTTCCTACCCAGGATATTTTTAGAAATCTTTTTGAGCGCACATTGTATACTGCAGAGGAGTGATGTTTTCTGGGAAGTTTCCCAGCTACTCATGCTGTTTCCCATGATGGTTTTTTGGTTTTGGTTGTTTGGATTTTTTTTGGTTTGTTTTTTTTTTGGGGGGGGACGCACTATGGGGTTTTTGGCTTTGATTTATATTCTGATGTTATGCAAGCAGAGACAAAGAAAGAACAGAAACAGTCTTTCTATTCATCTCATGTGCACTTGCCTAGAATTTGTCCCTAGCGGACTCAGATATACTTCCTTGATGGTCATGAGGTAGCAAAGTTACAAAATTTTCTGCAGAGGAAGATAAGCCATTGTTATCAGAATCTCCAGTTTCTATTTCAGCCTAAAATTGTACTAACTCTACTGCTGCTTAATTTTAATCATGGGCATAAGGTCATTCCCACTCTGTGAAAAAGGAACAGAAATGCTTTGCTGAATTTGGAAAATAAGGGTAATTTATTTTGCAAAGCTCTCATTAGTTTAAGAGGTTAATTCTATTGTTTTCATTAACAGTAACTCTTGGAGCACAGCTTATGCCTCCTTAAGAGTCCTAGAATCAAAGAGCTGGAATCCAGCCCATCTGAAAATTCCATTTCTGTGGAATGGATCTTACGTTTGGTTATCTTTCCTCGCTCCATTTCCCATCAAAGTAAAATGGTGGAGACTCCTGTTATGCCCCATCACTTTTGAAGCCTTGGCTTAGATCTCATTGAAAATCAAGCACTAGCCTTACCGAGATACATAGATACTTAGGGAGCCTAAGTCACATCCTAGTGGGATTTCTAATTCATGAGAAGGGACATCCTAGGCCAAGATGGACATAATGGTTGCTATCCCAACTGCCTGCCAGTTCTCGGAGTTTCCTACCCATTTACCCAGACATGTCAGGATCTGCCATGTGAACAGCTGAGCAGCTGCAGGCTGCCCCACCAGGATGTTATGGCAGACCACAATCCCCAGGCTGCACTAGTACATACAGTGCTATAAAATGGAGCAGTTCAGCTACTGTGGACAACTGAAATGTCTGGACAGCAGGGATGGGCACTTCAAGAGGCTGGGTGGGCCAAACAGCCAGGACAAAAACTGCCAGCAAAGCTGGGCTCATTTGTCCATCAGGACCTCTGAAGCAGTTATTTTACTTTCCACTTACTACAAAAGAGTATGCCTATTTGGCTTGGCACATAGTTTCTGCAGACATACTAATCTATGAATTGTTGTCCTTCCAGGGCCACTGGATTCGACCTTTCAAGCTCTCCCTGCATCCATTTGCCATGCTGACTGCCTCTGAAGCTGCAGAGTATTCCTGGAAGCAAAGTGAGCACACTTCACCCCAACTCCCGCAAGGCCAGGGCACGGGTACATGGGGAGCCACCAAATTACAGCCTGCTGAGCTCCAACAGCTGCACGTGGAAAGGATAGTGTAAACCTTGGTCTGTGCCTATTCTCTTGCAGGGGGGTAGGTACAGGCATTTTCTCCCTGTAGCCTAGAAACAGTGTCTAGTTCAGGCTCCTGAAGTTCATGGCAATTGCAAAAGGAGCATTTTTCTCAAGTTGAGGTAAACAATAATTTACATGTTTCTAGTAGAATCAGCCTTCGTGTCTGACAATCACTTGTTTGTTCTTAAGCTTGGACTGATATTAGGACTTTTGCAAAGGTCAGTTATGCTACTGGCCAGTGAATGAGCCACCCCCCCACCCCTTCCCTGCTCGTTCTCCAAGTGAAGCAAAAATGAGAGTAACTTCAGGAGCATTAGAGAATTTGAAGCTGGGAGCCCTTACCTCCAACCGTGTATTGCAGCTAATCCCATGCAGTAGGCCTGTAAACCAGCCTGGTGGCACTCTGTAAGCCCAAGATGATGTAAGGCTCTTTCTCCCTTCCAAGGCATCAAGTACCAGACAGCAGCAGCATATCAAAAGATCAACCCTTGTTCAGCAAGGACAGCTAAAAAGGACAGCAAGCAACTGGACTCACTGACCAGAGGAAAGCAACAGGTTGACAAAGTAGATCTGAAGAATTCGCACAAGCCAGTAAAACTGCTTTTGCAACACTACCACTGATTGTCACAGCTAGAGCGGCACCTCAGGCCACCCAGAGCCCACAAAGCCTTTCTTGTCTGCCTTTCTCAGCACTCTTTAGCATGAGCTGTTTCATAGTAGCACTAATTTATAACATAGTGTCAATCCTAAATTGGACTTTCACGGCAAGTGTATCATACCTTGTCAGGAGGTGCCACTCAGGAGCTGGAAAGTCAACTCCAGTAATGTTCAACATACACATCAAAGGCACCAAAGGCACTCTTCTGGCTAATATCCCTGCAAAACACATTCACTACTGTCACTTTTAGGTTAAGAAACATTTGAAGACTATTTTTTTTACAAAACTAACAAAAACCTGACTCCATAAAGAACCCAGTAATGTCAGACTAGCCTAACAAGTACATGAATTAGGCTCTGCTTTTCTATTTGTCCATGATTTGCTAAAGCCTATTGTTTGCTGCAGCTCCACTGAGCAGGAAAGCTAAGAAAACATTCCAGCAGCAGGGCTGGATTTGACAGAGTAAAGGGGCTCCCCCGCAGCCCCAAGTTCAATGTGCATCACATGTCACACAGCGGGTGAGAAGCTGGTCTGCCATGCAGTCCCCATCTCTCCTGATGGATTCAGCCCTGCATGCTGTGCTTGCGCTTATTAACATTTGCATCCTGCAGGGAGCTACAGAAGCAAAACAAGGAATCTCTCCAGAGAAGCCTGGAACAGATTCAAAAGCAAGGAATGCAAAGGAAGCAAAGACATAACAAAGACCCAGACTTCGTGTACCTCACTTAGCTGTAGGTGAGCTAACTGATGGCTTCTGCCTTAGCTTTGGTAATACATTTACAACGTGTGTTGGGGGTGGTGTTGGTGTTGGTTTTAGATCTTAACAGTCATTCCTTCCTTCCCACCCCTCATATCTTGTATCCAAGACTCTGACATTCCCTCCTTTTCCTTTTGCCACCACTCTTCTGCTTCCCTGCTAATGTGTTGGGAGCTTACATTTTCCTAATGTATCCTTGCTGCTTCTCACCCCACCATGCTACCTTTACAGAGCCTAAGAGAGGATGCAGCACTTCAAAGGCAGAGTATACACACTTCCCCTTGTCCACAGTGCTGTATGCAACTCTCATGCATGCTCCAGAGTGGGGCAGGAATGAGCTTCCCTGCATGTGACATGAGGGTTGTGCCTCTCAGCATGATACCATTTCCTTCAGCTCTAACCTTTAACCATCCTGTCTTCTTATTTCCTTAAAGGACTCAGCTAAAGAAAAAGCCCCTTCCTGCAGTGCCAGTGTAGCACTGAAACCTAACTGTCTTCTACTCCACATTTGTAGGTCTCTAATGGTTTGACTCTGTTATGTCCATGCTGTGCTGCCCAAGAACACTCCCCATTTCATAGATCAGCTGTCACAACCCTCATCCTTGTAATAACTCTACCTTGGGATAAGAGCTGGGTGCAAGTGGTTCTCCTTCCACATCCCTCTCTTCCTCTGGCTGGAAGCCTGGGCACACAGCATGGGGTATTTCTATAGGACTCTTTCTACTTAATTCCATAGGAGTTTCAGGGCTCAGTGGGGTAGTAGAAGTGTTCACTGCTGAGAGGTGTGTTTAACACTAACTGCAGGGTAGAGAAGCTCCATTTCAACTCTTTACATATAAAAATGATAGACATAAGGGTTCCCAGCTACTTCTAGCCAGGGCATAGACATCCATCCAAAGTATGGTCACATACTGTACAGCTGTGTTAACCCATGCCTTGGAGATGGGCCTGTACTCTAATGCAAAATATCTGCTGAAGAAAAAAAACAATAAACGCTTATGAAACAAACCCGTTTTTCTTCTGCCCGCTGATTTTCAGTCACTGAGCCTATTTTTGGAGATGCCAAAAGACAGCACTACACAAGAAAGCCTGTGAATGGTTAAACTTAATCAGGAATTCAAAGGGTCTCTTAGAAGTCCTCATGGACTCAAAGCTTGCTTTCAGCTCACCAGGTTCACAGCTTTTTTTTTTTTTTTTTTTTTTTTTAAAACATATCACAAATTTCCTGTTAAAATCAGACTACAATAAAATGTAGTTGCTGTAAACAGCTGTCCTTTCAATTCTGAGCTGTCCATGGAGAAAGACCTAACCACAGCTTGGTACATCCAGAAATTACAGATTAACTGCTGAATCTTTGTGCTGATATTGATGGGGCTTCTCGGCCAGACTATGCATTTTCCCACTTCCCTTTCAAGCCACATGAGCCAAAATTCAAGGCCTAAGGAAGCCAGATGAGAAGGCTAGAGGGGACTTAAGATCAATAGCAACATCACCTTCCCTTGCACAGGAAATCTTTAGCCATGAATTTCTGCAGCATCAGCTGTTTTGGCATGGTTAGTTCACTCTGCAGGAAGCAGGATTGCTGGAACACACTGCCCAATCCCATTTCGCAGTTTCTACCTCTCCTCCATGGCCTATGTTCACTGCTGGGACAGGTCTGCCCTGTCACATTCAGCACAGGCTTGTTCCTGGAGCTCAGAGCATCCATCAGCTTCTAAACAGACGCTTCTGTTTCTGCAAACAAATTCAGTAGAGCAGTAGGCAGCAGCCGGTGCTAGGACCTGAGCAAAATTCATTCCAACTCAAACAGCATCAGCCTGACCCCTTGAAAGCCAAAGCAGAGAGAAATTGTACTTTGAAATTAGGTCATTAGAAGAGGGGAGGAGGGGATATTACTGCTGAGCATGTGAGTAGGAGAACAATGGTGAGGGGTTGGTTAAGATTAAACAGCTAGAGATTAACATCTCATGACTGATTTTTGTTCATTGACCTGCAATAAAATAAACAGTAAGACTTTAACAAATAGGTGATTAGCCATGTTACTCCAGTGCTGTCTTTGCTATTATATTACTTCCACGGTCTTCACTTTTCATTGGCTAATACTTCCTGGTTTTTATAGATAAGGCTGGTGGAGTTAAGAGGAGTAAGCAATAGAAATCTTGCTGTATTAATAAGTATGAAAACAGTGTTTAATTTTCAGAAGGCAAGTACCTGCCTCTTCACTACTGTCTCCCCTGTTGGATGGCTGGTGTCTGATTGCCTGCACACAAAAATCAAGCCCAGCAGATCAGGTGGTTTGTCATTCACACATTCACATTTTCAGACAGGAAAAAATCAGAGTGCGGAAAAGTGCTCGTATGTGTGTGCACAGTGGGACTGGTGAATGATAGCCTTCTGCCACCTTGAAATTTCCTCCTTTACTAAGCTGTATCATCTCCTGAATAAAAAAAAGGCTTTGCTGTGACCAATTAGCCAGCCAGACCAATTAGCTGGGACAACTTCAAACTCTTTTTCTCAGCTACGCAAAAAGTAATGGCATAGTTCAGAGCTCAGATGAGGTGAAGAGTCACAAATTTGTTCTACAGGACCCAGAAGAGACCTCTGATCATATGTGCACACTTAGCACCCTTTGTCACATGCACACAGTTGGTGCCTACCACTGCACTGCAATACTAACCACAGTGGGAAAGGTAAGAGACTATTCTGGGTCTGTTCTTTCTAAGTACCTGAAATCATGGTACTGAGGCCTTGTGCAGCAAGTGGGGAACTGAATAGGGCATCATCCGCTTTCCCTTTGGCAATTTAAGAGCTGCCCATGGTACCCCAGAGATTCCAGTAGTAGAACTCATGGTGGCAACTTGGTGCTGCAATTCACAGTCCAGTTTATGACACTGAAATCAGGTGGTTTCAGCTAACACTCTTGGCTGTGAACAACACAGCAGCTGAGGCACAGACATACCACCTGCAGGACCAAAGGGGCTACCTTCTTAAATTGCCCCACACAAGCTTGTGAGTCAGTCTTTAGACCATAGCCAGAGTTACTAGAGCACTGCCCATGCAAGAAAGGCCACATTTCCCCCTCATTTCTGCTACAGTAATCCTGACTTCAGACATGTCACTACTGATTATCTAGCTATTCCTGAAAATTCTCGCTCATTTTGGTGAAGAGCTTTTTCCTTGTCAAATGTCAGGTGGAAATATCTAGCATCCATCTTGGAATGGCAAAATACCCATTTTGTGTGAGAGACCAGTTTATCTGTAAGACAAAACTATAACCAATCTGTTCTGAAAAAAATTGATTTTGTCAGGATGGAATGTGACATATTAAGTGCATAGGACTATATGGCTTCAGGAGGCATCCAGCAGCAAGAGCATATACCAGAGTCAAAGCAATGAGAAATTCAGTTTTACTCAGTGTCTCTAAAACAATGTAATGGATGCTGGCTCCATGAGGGGAGTCATGGTTGAAAGACTGAGCATCTCTGCTGCATTTTCTGTATCTAAGAATGGTTAGAGGTGCTCAAAACAGAAACTAGCCCATACTGGCTCCAAAAAGCCATTTGTTTGCAGCAAAACAGAGTCAGAGAGAACACCAGCTGCCAAATTCTGCACAGACTGTCACCAAGTCAGGTGCTGCTATGCAAGTGGTCTGCCAGGTATTCCCACTGTCAGTGCCAAACACATAGCCCATTTATGTAAAGCAAGTATATGGTGTGGTTGCCAAAGACATCCAGGGCTAGACTTCTTGGCCTTTCATGGGGACTTGCATTAACAGCCACTGTTCAAAGAACTCGTGTGTAATCCATGCAGCAATAACTGTTTCTCTACATTGTTCATCACCCTGAAGATCTACCTACCAGTTTGCCATATGTTTGGACTCAATCTTAAGGGTCTTTTCCAGCCTAAATGATCCAATACACAAGGGATTACACTTTTAAATAGAGTTAGCTGTGACATTAAAGCACTGTGACAACTTTGCACTGACTTCCTGTGTTAAGTACTCTTGCTTGCTCACACTGCCTGTTGCCAGTTCCACTGAGTCCAGGTCAGCAACCCATTCATCCAGCACACAAAAATCAAGCTCTGAACAGTGTATTTACAGTAATAGCAACAACACATCAAGTCAAGTACAACAGTCAAGCAAACATCATGACAAGGAAATCCAACAGGATGAAGGCAGGTGGTCTGAGATAATCTAGAAAGCTCAGAAGAATAGGGCTGAATATACCAAAGAGGACAGGAGGGTATCTAACCTGTTTGGAAGTGGTGAGTGTGCATTAGCCCGTCACTTAACAAGGATACAGTTAAAAACAGCATTAGTGAAGTGGTTTCTGATGGAAGGATGGAAGGTTTCATATTCCCCCTATCTGTTTCCCTAGAAGACACTCTTGTCCTTCTCCTTCCTTTCTGGCTAGAGCACTGAAAGCCCTTTTCTTTGATCTGAAACCTTGTAAGCAAAGCTGTGCTCCACTAAGGCTCCCAAACCTTGCCCTGCTCTCCTTCCTTACAGCCATACTCATTTGTTCCACTGGAGGTGGAGACTAAGTAGTTGCAAATAGAGGTATTTTAAGTAAATTAGATCTACAAAGGTGTTCATCTGCATGCCAAGTTAACTGATGAATCATGTTACAAGGTCTTTACATGCTTGAATGAGTTTCCCCAAATACATAAGATTATGTCAAGACAGATTATAAGACTGGTTTTGGAGTGCAGTAGTTTCTTTTGATCTGAAGCCTCACCTACTGGTGATATAAGATGTTTGTATAACCAGATTTGCATATTCCATGAAGCAGTTTGGTTTTAACAGTGTAAGATTTAGGTGCAAGAAAGTGATAATCACAGTAGAACAAGTCATGGTTTGTTCCAGCCCTGTACCAAACAAGAAAAAAATGACATAGGAAAAGTTCCAAAACAGAGGAACACAGTTTTCTGTAATCTACTAGCTGTGCTTTACAATCTTTACTTTATGTAATCTTTACTATCTGTGCTCTAAACAACAATCTTTCCTGGTTCCAGACAGAGTGCAACTTGAGTTTAATGCATCTTGCTCCCTTTGAATTTTTAAAACAGACTTTCAAAGGGAAAAAATTGACCCAAACTAATTTACAATGTTAGCCAGTAACTCAGATATTAGATGTTTATCAGTGTAAGAACCATTTGATTTCAATCTTTTTAGTCCTCAGGGCTGCAGCAGTTAACCACACACCACAAAGGGACTGAAATTTTCATCACTGTTTCCTCCTAACACATCTGTGTTAAAAACTGTACACAACAGAAGGGATTAGCAGGCAAAAGCTAACACCACCATGTGAGATGCAGACTTTTGCTGTTTCCAGGATAAAGTCGGTGACAAAGTATTGAAATTGAAGCCAAGTTCATCTGCTCTCACAAAAAGAAAGATTACCACAGAATAAACTTAGGCAAGAGGTAATCGACAGAGTGGGGAAGAAGAGGAACAGACTACAGCAGAAACTGCTCAGGTCCCCCGAGTTCGACAGCTTTCAGGCAAAGGAGGTTCTGTAAAGAACCATCCTTATACGCACATGCCCCATTGGGTCAGGTGCACCACATGAAATAGCTGATACCAGCTGAAAGTGTAGTCTGCTCCACAGTTACACAATAATTCACTTGCACATAGCCCTCGCAAATGCAGCCCAAAACCCAGAAAAATAGGAGTCCCACATGGTCAATGCAATAAATGCCATAACTGCAATAAATGGCATAACTGCAACAAAAACAAAATATGAGATCTCCCTGCAGCTTAGAATGGGGCCTTTTGTGCTACTTTCTGTAGATGCAGCATTAGGACTGTGGTATATAAAAGCAACCACACTGTTTGCTCACAGCTCTCAGCTTTCGCCTCAGCAAACTGCCGAAAATGGGAAAAGTTAGTGGAAGCCCCAGTATGCCAGTGCCTGCTCTGACACAGACACTGGGATGGACTATGAGTCTTTGCAAATGCTTATATTTCAGATCATTTTTCTAATGAAGACGAGAGCTTCTGGGGCCACTGCTATGAGTGTAGCAGTGACCACCTTGACCTGCGTTCCTATGTGAAACAATGCAATTCCATCTGGGTGGAAAAATGCAGCTGGATGATTTATCAGAATCCCAGTTACTTAGGACATCGGTACTTTTTAAAAAGGTGAGACTATCCTGACTTCCAGAAGTGTTCCAGTCTCTGCAACTCCATCAGGTCCTGCCATGTAATCCTGCAAGTGAGTTCTGCTTGGCAGTGTATCACAGTTTGAGAAATTTAGTATAGTTTATCCTTTAAGAATATAGTTATACAGTCTCTTCAAGTAACTCAGGAGACAGGCAAAGTTCAGTAAGGCAATGAAAGTTTCACTGGAGATGAAGGAAATAATCTATTTAATATCAGTGCTATTTCCAGGGCCTCTTCATAACTTGGAGATGCTGAAAGAAACCTAAGTGTCTATTTCTAGATAAAGAATGTTTTCATATTGCCCAGGGGAAGGGCTAGCAGGGCCAGCTGATATCAAGTTCTGCTGTGGGCTGGTGTATGCAACTTGCTCATAACCATACTATGTTATGATTCAATGACTCAAGAATATGTTAAGTCAGATTTGCAATGGGTATGGCTTTCCTAACTTAAAAGCTGTGTTGGTTAAAGTCACGCAAAGAATTAATATTTGCTGAAGTACATCTCCGGTTAATAAGATACACTATACAGCATAAGCCATAGCAGCAGGAACACTCCACATGCCCATGCTTCACACAGCTCAGTTTGCCACATGGCAATTGCCTGCACACCAGTATATAATGGGAGCATATGCAGTAACATGGTTAATGTCTTTTAGTAGCGTAATTCTGAAAAGGCCACATTATTCATGCCCAGTCACAAGTAAGCACCACAGATCATCTCAAAGTCACATGAATACATTTTTCTCCTATTGTCACAATGTAGAGACCTTATAAATCTCATTTCTTCAAATCATAAATTATGCTCCATTTACTTCCTACCACACACATGATCACACCCATTTGCTGGCACTCCTGAGCTCCTCCATGTAGGTGAGAATTAAACCTCTGCTATTAGCTTCAAACTCTCTTCACAATCCCACCTCCAGAATACAACACAGTTTCTCAGAAATGCACATAGTAGCCGGGAAACTTGCCTTTTTCTGTACTCTGTCTTGTTCAGTAATGTCAGAATCAGTTAAATTTCTCTTTCCTACATTTTTGCTGTGTTTGCCACTGCAGAATTCTGTTTCCCACGAAATGCAGCTCTATTAAAAAAAGAAGGTCCAAGGCCAAATATTGGAGCTCACTGATGATTCCCCATCAGTGCCAGGCTACACCCATCTCCCTGAGATCTGCTCCCTCGATGTTTAGGTGGCTCTTGGATCTTGTATGAAACGCCCAACTTCAAGGGCCAACAGTGTTTACTGAAACCCAGGGAATATGGAATATTTCCTGACTGAGGTGTAGTAAATGCAAAATAGTCTCTTTGTAGAGGTTGGCTGACTTGCACTGAGTTATTGCTCCCACGCTAAATAAACACTGAATGCATTCCAAAATCCTTGTTCAAACTAATCTTCCTTCAGTACTACAAACAAATTAAAGTTGTGCAGTCCAGAGGGAAAAATGATTTCCCTCACATTTTAGGGGAGAGGGAGAATACTTCAAAAAATATTCAAAATTTTCCAGCTGTTGCACAGGACGTGATAATTTGAATAACTCTTAAAGGTCCAACTGCATATTGCTAACCCTGGTAAGTGTAGAGCTTCTCAGTCATTACTTCACTGGATATAGCTATTAATGGGAAGGTCTGATTATTTCATCTAAGTTTTCCCCAGTTTCACAAGTCTTGATCTAGGAAGTGATTCTAGCTCTGTATTTACCAGGGTTAACAATATGCAGTTGAGCCTTTAACAGTTATTTAAATTATTATGTACTGTGGAACAGAAAAGTAAGTCCCATTAAGAGCTATATCCAGTGAAGTACTGACTGAGGAGATAAAGGACAGAAAGATGCAGAGGAGCTCAGAGCATGGTGAACACTGTACTTGGCATCAAATTCTTCATGCAAACAAGCTGCTCCATGCTACCACCAGTCCAGCAAAGCTTTCCAGTCTTTTCCCAGCTGATTGCTCTAGAAAGAATTTTTCCAGTTCTTTAAATCACACCACCTTTATATAGCATGTTTTAGTGAACCTGTATCTCATGAACTAGATGTTTAGCTGGTGTCAGTCACCCTTCCTTTACTAACTTCAGAGCTGCGCTGACCTGCTGCAGCTGGAGATTGAGCCAAATCCCTCAGTTGCCAGCTATTCTGTATGCAAAAGGAATTAAATAAGCATACCAGTGTGGATTAGAAACAGGACATCTTGTTTACGCTGGAAAAAGTCTATTGCAGCATTAATTACCATTCAAGTAATTATGTACATGCCTACTAATCATCACAGAATCCTGTGCCAGCAGGCACTCTGTGCAATAATGAATGAGAGCCATAATAAAAATATCACACAACACAGTTAAGGGATCTCACATCTTAACATACCTCTTCTCATTTACATAGTGGAGTCTAGATTTTTTTTTTTTTCCAGGCATAGTTAGGCAAATATACTACTGCTCTTCAGCAAGGTACTGGAGACTTTTGGAAAGAGAAAGCAGCACAGAGAGCACAGAACTACTAGGACACTCTGCAACCTTATCTAGTATATGTTTAATTTTAAATCCTTTCATCTGGGCTTTAAATGGTAGGCTTTGATGTTGTTTTGCCCAATAAACCTGTTGATAATGGAGTCCTTGAATAAAACCAAGCAACTTCTACAGAGTGAGGTAGACTGCTTAAAGCTCACATCTCCACTTGCTAATGTCAGAAACCTCATTTAGCCATTATTCACGCTCACATGACCCGTCAGTAATAGCCTGTCAGTGATCCTCACCAGCCTTTCCCTGACAACACTGGAGAGGAAAATAGAACTATTCTTTGCCCTTCTCATCCTTTATTTTGTACATGGGAGACTACCTCTGCCCTCCTGTCTGTCCTTTACTGCACTAAGTAGGCTGTTCAGCTGCTGCAAATGTCTGGTGTACACAAGAACACCATGCTTCAGCCAGAGAGAAACGAAGAATGAACAATTCAGCTCTCAAGGCAGAGGTGTGAAAACATATGTTTCCTCTTGTTCACAAATGCTTAGTAGTGTGCATTTATAGGAACTGCACAGTGTAAATAATATGTGTGTTAGCATGCTTAGGTTAGCATGCTAATCCAGGTTTGCAAAATAACACAGCAGTTCAAGCACAGTATCTACTTGCCTGCTCAGAACAAGGAACCAAAATATTTAATTTGCCTTCAGCAAGAATAACATAAAGAAAAAACAGAACAGCTTCCCAGACACCAATTAACATATGCCTACGTACCCTAACAAAATCTAGTTCAATTAGTGCAATTGAGAAATATGACTACATAGTGATGTGTAGGTTACATGCTGGCATTTTGGTCAAAGGCAAGAATGAACAGAAATGTACCATTCGGTGATCAGAGCAATAGTTAGGATGTCTGGATTCTTGACTCTGCTGCGTCCTAGAATTTGCGGGTGGCTAAACCTCTCCAAATTTCTCCACGTGAGATGGGAATGGTGTCAATTCCTATTTTTCAAGTAGCATTGAGAGGTTTTTCTTGCTTTTGTTTGCAAATGTTCAAAGAATATCAAGCAGACATGAAGAACAAGGGTGCTAGGGGAGAGGAGCACTGGGAATTCACAGAGCATCCAGGTTTTTGCTAACAAGTTTTCTAGGTTCTTGTAGCTTGTTTTACGGTTTGTAGCAGGCACTACAGTTGTTGGCATGCAGGGTGTGTTTCTCTACACAAACATGCACTGCTATTTTCAGATTATCCCTACGCCTGAGTTTTTCTGGGGTGCAAAAGCAGTCAATCTCCACATATAAGCAGCTGTCAGAGCAGCATACTAGTTGAGGGCAATTGAAATAAATGTAAATAACCAGACTCCTCGGATCAAGGATACCATTTGGCTAACAAGATATTTTGGCTCCAGCGTTTAAGATCAACCCACATACCCTCCTGCACAGCCCATCTGCGGCATGGAGTCCTGGGAGGGGGATAATCTACAGGATTCAAGGAGAAGCTGGATGCATACTTCTCCATACAAATCCAGAGGGTTATTAACCAGAGAGAAGTAACATCCTGCTCAGGAAACCTCTTGAGCTAAAAATACTTGAGGTCTTGAAGTTTGAACGAAGTATCATATGTATTTGCTTCATATCTACCCTTCCCTTCGTACCTACTCATGGTCACTGTTCTGCCAAGTTGCTTGACTAGCTGGACCACTGGCCTGACCCATGATGGCTGCTCTACATTTCTAGCTACAATAAGGAATTCACACATCACTGCCCCTACTCTGGTAGTTCCAAGTTCCAAGTCCAGTGCCCACTGTTTTAAACTATGAAAGACCATATGAGACCCAAAAGTCAAGCCAGGTCCACAAAGCAAGCAAGATCACAGAAAGAGCAATAAAAGCATAACATTCCTGAGCCTGTCAAAGAAATGCAAGCACAGAAGTTGTTCCTGTAAGTTAGTTCAATTTGCTTAGCATTAACGATCAGGAAGAAGTTATTTTTGATCCAAAGAAAGCATAGAGATTTTCAGAAGGAACTGCTGGACTTAAATTCACACTCTTCCCTCAGTCCGCTTTCAGTGTTAAAGGCTACAATTTCCTGGCTGAGGAAGCAGCTCCAAGAGAGAGGCTGACAGGAGCGATACCATTTACAAAACCCATTAGAAGCACAACTAGAGCTGTGTAAAAACAGGCCAGCTAAAGATTTGACCCTGAAGTTTTGTAGCTTCATGAAATCACAATATAAGACTGATAGTGAAAGACACATGCAAGAAAGGACAAACATGTAGTGTTTTCATTGAACAAGAAGCCAGTGAGACAAAAAGATCCACACTGCTGGCTCAGCCTGCCCTTCCAATAAATTCAAAACAGCTCTGACTTTGAGGCTGCTTATTGCCCAGACTTCTAAAGACCACTGCAATGTATTGATTGACTGAGAATTGCACTAAACCATATCAAACAAGGGCCCAGAATGAACACAGTCCTGAGCATCCCTGGGATAATCAAGTCAGACTGAAAACTTACCACAATGTTCTCCCTAGACAACTTTTTGTTAAGTTCAACTGCAATTAAAGTTTCTTCAGCTGAAGAAATCACTATGCTGTTGCATTTTGCCTCAATGACTCACACCTGAGCACCAAAAAGCTATACGTCTCTCAAGCTAAATATTTCTCTGAGCAGATGTAAAAAGGCTCTTCTCTGCCTTAAACAAGTGGAATCCATCCTTCAACTTCCAGTCTCTTTAGCTATGAACGCTAAGTTATGTTAATACAGAATTTCAGTAGTGAAGCCTGGATGGATGTAAATGTCCATTACCACACATTTTAGATTACACCATTTTCTCTCTCATACACATATTCTTCCTATTAAAGGAAACAGGCAGTAATACCTGGTCTAAAGGCTCTTGAAAATCAGGACAGTTTTTATTACCATACTGTGAAAACAGTTTTACATTATCATCACTGGGAATCCGTATGCATTAAAAAAACTTTTGTCTCATGTAATCAGGGGACAGAGGGAGATTAAAAACAAAAAGTGAAATGAAACAATTCTGCTGCAGCATTTCCAGAACTTCTGCTTGCACATTTTCCGTCGGTAAAGTAACAGAAATATTGCTTGACCTACCCTTTACTCTGATCCTCTGCTTATTGACAGTAACAATAAAGCTGGTACCACACAAACTACTGCTATTGCCTTTTGTTTAGAGAATGACAATGGCAAGAGGGAGGGGGAAAAATCATTCATTCTCTTTACTGAGCAAAAAAACCCTCTTTTATTCTTGTGGATGCAGCACTGTGCATTCTATATGGAAGACTGCTGACTCCTCCTGCATGCTAAACCTTAGCAAAAATGGCAAAGGTAAGAACAGCTGAGTGAATGGAGCACTGACAAACAACCTAGCATATGCATAGCTCCTTGTAGGCAAGTATGTTTGCAAACACAATTTGTTGGTCTACCAACAAATTAGTGGAGGGGAAACCTCAAATAGTTGTTTTATTATCTAGCTCTTTGATAAGTTTCTTAAAGAAGGTCTATAGTGTACTTGGTAGCTTTTGAATGCTAAAATATTTGCACATAAAAATCTTTTGGTTTCATTTTTTTTGTCTGGCTAGTTTCCCTTTGAGTTTGTCAGCTGCTGAAAGAGACCTAAAGTTCATATATAGTTAGACTTCTAAGATGTACAGGAGAATAATATTGAAGTACTCTATTCCAAACAAATGTAATAAATATCACCAAACAATGCCACTGAATTTAATTATCTCTAACTTGATTTTACTGCTGCTAAGATATAGCTGCCCAACGGGACCTAGAGTGCTCAGTGATTAACTTGGGCTAGACACAACGGTATTGGTTTGTTCCTATCATTAAAAGAGGTGAAAGCTTCAGCACAATTAAAATGTAGGAGAATTATTCCTTCCTTTGTCTGTATTCTACATTGCAGAAGACTTCCAGGAGCTCAGAACTCTGTGCAGGAGATGGGCACAAAGTTGAGTGTGTGATACACACAAGTCGTCCTTAGAGCTTTCAAAGAGCAATTGGGATTTCACTTTCTCCAAATGCTCCCAAAAACTTGTTATAAAGCTGCTGACAGGCTATTTCCAGCATGAAATCATGATGAAAGTTGCCCCCCACTTCCCAGAGTCCCAAAGGGACTACATTGGTAGTACTAGAGAAATGAAGACACCAGTAACTGTCTGTGCATCCTATAAAAAAAATGGACATAAGGACTTTGCTAGTCTTTGGGCCTGGTAGAAGTGCTCCTATGGACCCTTGCAGGCTTTGGATTGTTTTGTACAATCTAGGCAAAACAAAATCAGCTTTCAAATACTTTTCAGTGTGATTAGAGCTACTTTGATTTTATTGCAGATCTCTTTCTTTGAGGACAGAGACTTTGAGGGCTGCTCCTGTGTAGCCACCACAGGCCAACTAGACCTGCATGCCCATCTCAACTGCTGCAACTATCAAGGTGGAAACTCCTGCTGGATGATATAGGAGTTTCCCAACTGCATAAGCCATCAGTACTTCCTCAGGAAGGGAGAATATCCTGACTACCAGCACTGGATGGGCCTCAATGACTCCATTAGGTTTTGTTGTACCATCACAGCAGTAAGTTTTCCATATTGTCCCCATGTATGTTACTGCCTATATTAGAATCAGAGCACTACACCCCATTCTGACAGCTCTGGCACAAGTAACAGCTTAGCCAGAGACCTCTGTGTAGAAGGAGGGTAGTAGAAAGGACATTTACCAAGTTGACCAAGAATCCCAAAGAAGTAGAGAAGTTAATTTGGATTCTCAGCCAAATGAACGGTTGGTTAGTGCTTGTAGGGCAGGTGGAGTTTATTATATTAATTTTTATTTTAATCATATGTTTATCTATTATTTCTTTATATATGAAAGAACTTAACTTCATCAGTCTTCTAAAACCAATCTGGCTATACATGTTCTACACAAGGAAGTGAAGTACAGAGCCAAGAACCAAACTACATCGCCCACGCCCCAGTCAATACTCCTCTTTCAAGGGAGGCAAAGTTGGTGACTACACTACTACAGAGGCAACTGGACTCATCCCATTTTAGAGACACAACCATGTATTTGAGCCACAAACGAAGGCCTATTTGCCTCATGATAGATTTTTTTCTGAATACTTCAGCCCAGAATAGATCTGTGTTTTTTCCCCTCCTAGACTCATTCTCTGGAAGACTTTTACTAAGAGGGGAGAAGTTGCCAAGATGTGAAAGATTTCAATAATCACACATAAAGGCTAAAGATTTGAGATTTGGCCCAGGAGTAGCCTTGATGCTGGAATGCGTCCTTCCAATGTTCATGAAAAGTTAACTTCATCCATGTTGTAACCTGTATGTAAAATTCAGTTTCCCTGTCCAGTAGAAGCTTCATAGGCTATCACAGTAAGTTTCCAGATACATACCACCTGCACAGGATAATGCAGCTATTTTTTTCACTGACATGCAGTTCTGGGCTTCACTTAGCTAAGCCAAGTTCTGGGTCCAAGTGTTCTAAGCTAGTACAGACACTCTTGTGTCCTTTCAAGCTGTAGAGGGGAAGAAGTCACAGGTGAGGAGGGTGGGAATAAGAGGGACTGAAGGGAAGTTGACTTGGGAGACTGATGGGAAGTATCTGGGAAAGAGCAGAGAAACTGAGAATTAGTATGTGGGTAGAAAAAAATCCTTAAATTAGGAAACATTTCCACATGCTTTCCAGATTCAGAACAAGAGTGTCCAGAAAGTCTGATTCCACAGATGTAGATACTAAAGTGTTGTTGGGCTTGGTTGTGTGTGTTTGTTTTTTTTTAAATTGAGTAAGGTGTTGGTCTTCACACAGCACTACTCTTGTGTCTATACAACTGCACTTAAGCACCTGCAAAAACTGATTTCAGCATTGATGCAAGAGCAGAAAGTATATCAAGTCTCTGCTGACAAGGGTCAGAGTCTTAAAACAGTTTATCATCTTAGTAGATGAAAAGGAAAAAACATGCCCATCTAAGGCTGTGAAAAAAAAATAGAATCAGAAAATTCTCCCCTCTGTCCCAGCCAGAGCCTTATCCAGTTATTACATCAACACCTAGGAACACTGAGGGCATGTGACTGCTGTGGCAATTCAGGTATACCACTAAGCTTATTTCTTACCTGCATGTACAGTTGAAGTGTGGTGATCTTGGCTGGACCCCACTTCTGCTTCCTGCCATACTCCAACTCTTTCAAAGCCACTGCAGTTCTGCTCTCACTGGAACAGAAAGGACTCACAGCACTGCTGCTTTAAATTAGGACCCAGTCACATTTCTTCCCATTAAACTGACTTTTCCGCACATACTAGTGGCTATTCACTGTTGTGCTGTGAGCATCAGTATTGCATCCAGCAAGCTGTAGACACCTACAACTGCCACTTGACATCCTGTGCCTCCATGTCTGGATTTGCCTTCACAGTCCCAGGAGCACAGCCGGCTACAGATCTACGAGAGAATGTCGGAGTTCATGGATAACTATCCTTCTCTCCAGGATGGCTTTCACTACAGGAACATCCAGCCTTGTAACACACTTGATGGAAGCTGGGTTTTCTATGAACAGCCACAGTTGCGAGGACTGAAGCCTAGCGAGAATAGGCGATGCACCAGCTGGGGTGCCATGACTGCTAAAGTTGGATCCTTCCAACCAACAGCGGATATTTCCTAACCAGCACTTTCCTAAGCTATATGTCAGTAACTAGCACCATTAGTACTTCATTAAGACCAAGGACTTTTGGAGCCTACATGGATGAGGCTCCTTTTCTTGCAATACTTTTAGCATTTGATTTAAAGTGTACCAGTCAGAAAGTGTCTTGACTACAGTGGGCTTCAGAGCCTGTGCTTGTTTTACTGGTAGGAGTAATTCCCCTGAAGTCAGTGGAGATGAGTTGGCAACACCCAAGCTCAAAGAAAACCCACATCTAAATTACCAAGTTGAATTTTTATCTGCAGTCTCAGATCAATTTAAAAATAACATCTTCAAAGAAAAAATATTGAGACCTTAAAGGAGAAAAATTAAATACATTCTTCATTTATGATAATGAAAATCCAAAAAACTACCTGTAACTGAGACCATGGGACCAACTCTGTGCTTGAATTTATTACAGGGCGTACCTTACCTCTTACACGGCCCCATAAAAGCCACATTCTTCTCAGAAGTAGTTCTCCTGTGAATATACTGGCAAGTTCATAGCCACAGTATCATTATGGAGGTACTGCGTACCAAACCTGCAGCTGTGACACTAGATGACTTAAGGCAGAGCAAAGCATTTGCAGTATTTACCATCTTTATCAATAAGAATTATTTCGACCAATGACTACTTGTAATAGTACAGATATCAAATCTTTCAGTTCCTTATTCACTTCATGATGAAAAAAACCCAGTCCTAGTGCCCAATAGTTCCTGCTGCCATTTGACATTAAGTCCAGAGTTCTGCAAAGGATTGCATTGCTTCTATTTCCAGCTCAAGGCCTACACTGTGCTCTTTTGTTTAGCCAGGACCTCACACTGTTTGTAGACACGAACTCATGTTGACCCTCCGTAGCACAGAGAAGCGGCAACTTTCCCTAGGGTCTGGGGTTAGAAACCAGAAGAGGGACTCATTATGTTAATGGTCTACAATCCGTTCAGTGTGCAGGTGGGCCCCCAAAAGTCTCACACATGCTTTAACAGCACGCTGTTTTACACAACACTGCAGGATCTTTAAAACTCTGCTTCCAAGTTTTACAACACTAGCCACCATTCAGGTCTCTATACTCTTTCCGTGTCAGGATTCAGGCTATCAGAGTCCCTGGAGGATTCACAAGGGCACAGGGAAGAACACAGCCTTGGTTTCACATCCCACTCAGAAGCACGCACTGTGATGCAGCCAACATCTAACTTCTGGGAGGCCATGGTGCTAACATTTTGCAAGAATACCACCTCTAGCAGCAGCTGAAACTTTCCTAAGCCCATTTGCCTTCATTTGCACCCTTCACCAAACCAAGAGGAGTCAGGCTCCAAGCTGCGTTCTCAGGACAACCTCATGCTGTCAGCTGAGAGAGATGTTCAGACAGATTGCCATAGACTACCAACACCGGCACACCCTTAAACCTTGGGTGTTGCCATGTTTGGGTTTTTTTCCTGACGCACCGATTGCTTTCAGGAGCCATGCTGCAGATGCAGATCTGCTGAGCACTCCAACATAATGAAATAATTAAACAACTTCTTAACTAAAGGAGAATGATTTGAAGTGCAAGTATGGTAAGTCCACTGATCACTGGCAATAAGATGGTGGACAGGAAGGGATGGTTTACTTTGAGTGAAAAGTCAGCTTTGGTGGAGGAAGGAGAGCACTTTTACAATCTTCAAACATCTGCAAAATAAAGTCAGCTGGAGCATGAGTCTACACATTCTAGCTCTAGCATAGCTTACCTAAATGACAGCAGAGGAGAGGAGTAGTTCTAAGCCTGAACACCCATTCATGAATCTTTACTAGCTGTTAGAGCTTGTAAGAACCTAGGCAGACCAAAGCATATAAACACATACTATATATTTAGTGTGGAAGAGCCTTTAAGATGTACCTTACACAAGAACATTCTTAGTACAGCTGCAAACTTAAGGCAAGGGAGCCTATGCTACAGAAAAGGAGCAGAAGAGATCAAGTCACTGCCTGGGCCTTTTACAGCAGGGGATTCATTATACTGAAGTACTGAAGCCCCCCTGGGGAAACAAGCTGAAAGGATGAGAAGGACAAAAACATACACCATGGTCCAAGGCTACCATGGGATAAATTCCTTCTTGAATTTAAGACTGGTGAATGGTTTAACCCTGCATATGTGAAAACAGAGCAGCAGGCGGACAGAGGGACTTAATACTATTAGCCAGACCATCACCTCCCAGCTTTAGGTGTAGCCAGTTTGAAAGAAGGCAACTAAAATCCCTAGATACCAGCTTATGTGTCAAAGGGCAAAGAAATTCCTTCCCATTTTCAAATTTTGCAAACAATTAACAAGCCCTGAACTACCTGTGGTACAACGTGAATATGGTGGCAGAAGGAAGATTAAACTCTGATTAAGTTTGCTGGCCTACCTAATAGAACAATTGCACACTCATTTTGTGCAGTCATAGCCAGAGAAACTCAAGGCAAGCTGATCCTGTATTACCCTCAGCAAAACATCATCTCAGAGGTATTGACATCTTGCAAGGGCCAGTTTGTTCCTTTCCTGTAACCACACCAAATGCAATCTCAGGTTAATTTGGCTTGAATGCCTGGAAACTAGCACCCGCAAAGTGCTATTTTGTTAGATACAGCAAAAAGTATTTTGATAGTGGCAGTTTTACACCCAGCTGCCAAGGGCACTTGCTTATTTAGAATGTAAATATTACTCCTTGCTTCTGTGCAAGGGTCTGTTTGTAAAGGACAATGGAAGAGGTGAGAGGCAGGTTCATTTTTAAGCATATTTCAGGTCTTCATTGTTAGGAAACAAAGCATTAGCCCTAAGACATCAAGCAAAACCTCAGATAAAAAGCTTAGCCATAGACCTAAATCAGCATGATTTTTGCTGGCCTGGGGCATAATCTTCGTTGAAGCCTTAGAGCCAAACAACAGGTTTGAGAATATCTGAAAGTCAGATACAGACTTTCGTCTTTTTCATTTGCTTCTACAGCAAATAAGTACAGCTTAAGAAAAGCATGTAAGGCGTATGGCTTTTCCTGCCACTTCATAGGTCCCTGGACTCAAAACTGCAATCCAATGCAGCCCATTCCTTTGTTGAATCTTTCCTTAACCTCAAATTCATGCCTTCTCTCCATCCACAACCTTCTCTACCCATTCTGTTACCTGAACTTGCTGACTGACAAGTTCAGGATATAGTAAGATGACTAAGTTACTGATATACAGCTACTGAAGAGAGTTAAAGTACAAAACCATAAGTAACAAACGAAGTATGAGAAACAACCACTATTGTAAACAGACAGTTACCACAAGACAGCCGCTAAGGGACAATGAACTACAAATCAATACTGCCTACCTGGCTATGTAAGGTCCATTAAACAACTGGGACATAATTATGGAAGAGATGGTGATGAAAAGTCTAGTAATTAGCTTCCATAGCTGGACCAATCCATAAACACAGCTTAAAGTACCCATACATAGCTAGTTATGCTTCCTTTTCTGTGTTCCTCCATTCTTTGACTTCCATATCCTTAGATGAGTCTTTATGAAGGTAGGTATCCCAAAATATAAGTTCACCTAGAGTTATACAACACCTGTGGGGACAAAGCTGTAGCCTACCTTTTGGCACTGGCCTCTCTCATTACTACTCATATTTGCACATCTGTCTGTACTGACAGGGAGGCTTAAACTTGACTCATACCTAGTGATGCAGACATGCACAAAGCCATCTTAACAACTTTACAGTAAGCTACCTGATG